GTTAATAAAAGGATATAATATGGAAATTTCAACAAAAAATAAAGAAAATACTAGATTTTAATGTATATTTAATACGAGGGAGAATTAAATAAATAATTACCAAGAAATAATTCCAAATTGCTGAATTTATTCTTAGACATGGCAATACACGAAACAGGATTTCGTTCGTATCTTTAGCCAATTACTGCAAATAAAATTATAAATTATATTATTTACATAATATAAAATAGAATTTAAACCTTCGAGTACTTTAATATCCTTCATTTGTTTCATAATTTAATTGTTGATACAGAATTAATACACCGACACACACATAAGTGGAATTTTGTATCGATGTTTTAGTGTTTTTGTTCTCCCAATCTGATAACCGGAAGGTCAAAATCTGACCGATGACCACACTTTTCCTGTTTATATTCTAGTATCGTGAGTAGACCTAATTCTATTTATTTAACTAACTTTTATCTATTTTATATTAATAAATGGGTCAAGATTATTGAGTGACTCAAACAGAGAAGCGGTGTATGAGTCAATATTTTGTCAACAGAACCTAAATTTAAAGTAAAAATTAGTAACGTAATGACGAAAATTGCTATTAATTATATATTATTTATATAAAAAATTGGAAAAATTATTAAAATAGATTGAATTTATTGTATATAGGACAATTGTTTAAACAACAATTTAACGTCGATTTGTGACACAAGCTTATAACATACTCTAAAACCCTTCGGATATTCTGTATTATTTAAATATACAGAGAAATTTGGAGCATATTTTAGGTACGATAAACACTCGGTTTTATCTAAACGACTTTAAAAATTAATAATAAACAGAACGTGTAACGTTGTACACTACATACCATAGAATACAAATACACAGAAACCAAATTCTTTATTTTAAATGGAAATTACTATATCATCTGTCGATTGTAGAGCCGCGAAATTAGGTCACATGCATAACGTTACATTATTTACATACGGTATAGTATTTATTATCTACGCAAGTTTAAAAGCACGGTACTTGATGTATAAAAAACACAAGAAGTAAGAATTTCTAAGCCCTAGTCCCATCAAATTCGGATAAACAATTTTCTACTGTGTCTACGTTGTAACAGAAAAACTTGAAACTTTTTACCTATATTTTATGTTCGAATGAATAAATTAATTAGATAAAATTAGGAGGGTAAATAGAGGGTAGACACTTTGTTTCGCCCAGGACCCAGATAAGGTGTGCTGAGAGAAGAGTGCGTAATTATTTAAAAAAATAAATTAAACATCCTTATAAACACCTATCTCGGCGCCGAGAGGAAGGGTTGAGACAAATTTCTTTTACTTTTTTTCACTCTATAGGCATAGACAATGGGAAAGAACTTTTTACGTATGGCATTTAAAACGTATAACTTGTAATACGTATGGCTTATTCGTAAAGGAAATTATTAATTAATAATTTGGAATATAAAATTCCGTAGATATTCTATATAATCAGGGTGTTCAACTCTAAAAATAACTGTAATTAGAGCATGATATGACTCGAATTTTTCGAATTTCTATCCGTTATTGTATAATCTAAATAGGTTTGAAAAATTTTATCTTAGATAATACCTATATAAAGTTTCTAAAATTGTACAGTTATAAACTTGTATAATAATATATGCTACTTGTAATATCATTCTGTAAATAATCTATCGTGATGATACGATCAATGAGAAGATGGATGAGAAGATAAGAAACGAATAATATCGTGTCAAAAAATAAATAATATGGTAAATTCTTTTGTAATGTAAAAGTTGATGCTCCATATGCACTTATAAGGATCTAAAGAAGAGTGCGTAATTATTTAAAAAAATAAATTAAACATCCTTATAAACACCTATCTCGGCGCCGAGAGGAAGGGTTGAGACAAATTTCTTTTACTTTTTTTCACTCTATAGGCATAGACAATGGGAAAGAACTTTTTACGTATGGCATTTAAAACGTATAACTTGTAATACGTATGGCTTATTCGTAAAGGAAATTATTAATTAATAATTTGGAATATAAAATTCCGTAGATATTCTATATAATCAGGGTGTTCAACTCTAAAAATAACTGTAATTAGAGCATGATATGACTCGAATTTTTCGAATTTCTATCCGTTATTGTATAATCTAAATAGGTTGGAAAAAATTTATCTTAGATAATACCTATATAAAGTTTCTAAAATTGTACAGTTATAAACTTGTATAATAATATATGCTACTTGTAATATCATTCTGTAAATAATCTATCGTGATGATACGATCAATGAGAAGATGGATGAGAAGATAAGAAACGAATAATATCGTGTCAAAAAATAAATAATATGGTAAATTCTTTTGTAATGTAAAAGTTGATGCTCCATATGCACTTATAAGGATCTAAATAAGCGCAAGTAAAGCAGAGTATGTTAATTAACGCTTGTATATGTATAGTATAGGACTCAGTGGTTCTCAACCTTTTTTTCGTCACGGCACACTTTTAGTACTTAAAAATTTGGCGGCACACTAACAATAAAATAAATTGTAAAAACTTTTACTTCATTAATTGAGGGATGTACTATACCTATAATATATTTTGTAAAAAGAGCATACGATAAGAATTTTCAATGAAATATAAAAGGAAATTGCATTACAAAGTAAACAAAATGTTTTGTGTCGCGGAAACGGCACACTTCAGAAATTTCGCGGCACAGTGGTTGAGAAGCACTGGCTCTATAGGTTATATTACGGCAATAGCTAGGATTACCGGCTAATTCTAATTTTATCCAAATTTTTTGTTTAAACCAAGTTTATTAATCTATCTCTCTATTAATTTATCTATTTCTTTTTAACTTTATCCGTGTAAAGAGCGCTTTATTCGTGTCACTAGAGGATAAAGCTGGAATTATTTGAAACAGATGGCTGAAGCAAGGTCGATACTTAAAATTCAGACTTTATCCCTAAATCAAACCAATTGACGACGATATTACATTCCCGGTTCTATTATATATAACAGAGGGATAGTATGGCGATCGGTCAAAAAATGGTCCCTTCAAAATTTTTATAGTTTTGAACTCCGGGGACTTTCAAAGGTGAAAAAATGCAAAGTTTAGGGCATGGAGGCGTGTGTAGGATAAACGATTTTGCTCATCCCGTTTTTGCATAATGTTAGCTTTATTCGCTTGTCAATGGATAAAGTTACATTATCTACAATACACTTGCTCATTATCATACAATAGGTATTATACCGTAAATAAGTTTAGAATCGTAGTTACTGCTGGATTTCGAATACGTGGCTGATTATCAGCTTGTTCATCTAAAGCCCTTGATAGCCTGAAACTCTAAACAAAAATCCATTTTCTATGCTTAAAACCATTACTAATTTACGTTCTCTTACCTCATAAACTGATTTTAGTTTTAATCTACTCAACTCTCACTTGATTTCTAGTATCTTAGAATACGAATAGGAAAAACTAGCTTGGATATTCTAAATATCACGTCACCTACCGAGTTTAGTAAAGTACTTACCATAACGAAGTTTGATGAGTAACTGCTATATTTTGAGAGCAAAGACCTATATAGAGTGATTATTAACCGTGACTATATATCACAGTTGACGTGGCAACAATTATTAACGGTTCGATAAACCAGAACTCTTATAGATCGAAACGACAGTTTTGGTTTAATAGTCGTATATAATTCATAATTCATGAGTGTTGTATAAGCAAGGGGGCGAGAGAAGTAGTAAAAACCAATACAATATAAAATAGGATAATATACAGGATGATCATAAATAAACAGTACTTTTTAAACTTGTTTTATACCTGAAATTCGCTAGAAAACGTATGTAATACAGACATAATAAGGACAGAAGCGCCAATAGCTCATTGTACACTTACAATTTGAATGATCACCCTGTATAATGTACTATTTACGCATATTTAAAACATTATGGATATGTGATATCACATATAAGATATTAAACAATGTTTTAAACCTGATTTCATTCACCAATTTCATGGTAATTGAATATAAAATTATAAGGATATAAAATAATATGTCTGACAAGTTTATATTTGAATATAAAAATTTATTAACTTTACGAATTTCATTTAAAATATATTTTCTCCGCCTTAAATTGGTAGTTTCTTGCTCCTGTATATAATACCTCATCTGTTAGCGAGGCCCCTGTAAATCATGCTTTTCCTGTTAGAAACAAAGTCATGCCGGTCATCTATCTAACTGCTTACAAGGGGGATATATTTGAATTGGAATAACGTGACTTCCTGTTTACATTCGTAATTTTATACAGTTAATAAGGGGCCTACTGCATTAATCCTTTCCACATCTGTCTCGAATTTCATCTATCTATCACCTTTCTCGAGAATTAGGAAAGACCGACAAATAACAGACAATAAGCAGTATACAGTGAAAATTTATATGTGTACAGTTTATTTAATTTGCAGCCCAACAAGGTATAGTTCAATTTCAAATAATAATTCAGTATAGTGAGAAATTCCCTGTCTTTCTCCTAACATTCCATATCTAAATTTTAAAAACGAAGTCTCGCCTCTACTTACTTTTAATCTCCCCCCTCTAATCTGTTTCTAACCTTTTCTGGCTCAATTTTAACTAATTTAAAGGTTATAATCTGACTAAATAATTACTAAATATATTCACAGGCGCCGATTATGCACGCACCTACACATGATTGAACGGAGTGGTGTGACGTGGTATAACTCGTCACGTGACTTCCCTTTCGAATACACGTGTTCACAACCGACAATGCTTTCATTATTAAGCTATTCACATGGATTTTTGTCACACTTTGATACCATTTTTAACTTACGCATCATAACGTTTGATTTTTAGTTAATAAATTGATACAGAAGTGTAATTGTTCTCTTTAGATTGTGTTTCTGCTCGAGTCTTTCACAGTTAGAAGTAGTGAGTTATTTTTAAACTATTTAATTAACTAAATTTTACGTCTTCTGACGGACATTTGGTAGACTAGAATGGCAGAGATCACACGACGTGTCATTTACTATACCATACCTTTGGGCCTAGTCTTGTACTTAATGTAGTTAAGGCTAGGCCCACAGGTATGGTGAATTGTCTCTAGAGAAAATATATTTGTACACGTGGTGTAATTATAAATATACTACGTAAGCCATTCGTTTCTATTAAACAGCAAAGATTGTATTATCGGTAGTTGGTAAGAATACACCTCCCCGATTTCACCGAAATTCGAAATCCCACGTTGTACTCGGATCAATAAACGTCAATCGAATTTGAAAGTTTGTTTAATTTTAAACACAAGTTCCTTGTTGATTTGTTACGTCACAACCTTTATCAATCCTCTTATCGTGTTTCTTTTCGTAAGCGTAATATTATATACAACCAAGTTACCAGACGTCGATATAATAAATCAAATATACATGTTGAATTAATATTTATAAAATATTGTGAGTATCTTTAAAATATTTAAGAATTTTTGCAAATGAATTTAATTAATTTAATTAATTTCTTGATTGTAAAGGGGGATGGTCGAGCAGTAAAGACACTAACATGCCATTCTGAATGAATATCTTACGTTAAGTATCGTTTCTTACCATTAATTGTATACATTTATCGAATTTAACGTGCATAAAAATAAGATTTTAAGAAATTTAAAGAAACTAGTCCTCAAAATAAGCGTTGAAAACACCAGTTTACTATTCTGTATTATCATTAAAAAGTAAAGTAAATTTTTATACATGTGTAGAGGCATGTATATACTTTTTAACCCTGAAATCTATATAAATATTTCCTTAAATAAAATATAATTATTTTCAGCTTTACATAAATTTCAAACAAAAAAGAAACAATTATAAAATCTATCGATAAAATATTATTAATAGATAAACTTTATCATAAATATGATAAGATTTTTCGATAATTCTTATAAATAAGATATACAGAGTGATACAAATGTCAGAATACACAAGCAAAGACACCAGTTTATTGTGCAATTACATACATATAAATCACTAATTATAATCTGTATAAATGTAATTTAATTAAATTTACAAAAAAGAGCATTTCTTCCAACCCTGGCAAAACCTGAAAATGAGTAAGTTAATTTACCACGAGTGTTTGTGTGACTAGTTTTGAATCACCCCGTATAGTTATTCTCCAACTTTCTCCATTAGCCTGCGAACGACCAGCAATACATCGTTCAGCATAAGGTGAAAGATACAAAAGGTAGTTTCTGATCCGATAAGAAACTTCCTCCATGTGTGTGTGAATTGTAGTGTTGTATATGGTTGTCGTCTTGTGTTGTCACCACGCTACCGCTCCCAATGTCGGAAAAATGAACAATAAAAGAATTTATTTTAAAATAATATTAGAATTACTTTCCATTTTCGAATTAATTAAGAAAATAATTACATCTTTAATTAATAAATTTTGATATGTTTTAAGCTGAATGAAAAATTTTGCTTTATTTTAATTTAAAAAAAATTTTTTTACAGCCAATTTCAAAGCAATGATTGTCTTCGTTGTGATTTTCTTGTCAATTCTTTGTTCAGAAATATTTGAAATCTCCGAATCAAACGGTAATCTTTGTAAATTATATTATTCTAATTATTATTTTATTATTATATTCAAATTGAGTGTTGATTTAACCGTACTTTTCAAGTTATAATTCTTACTATTGTTGATTATTAATACAGAGAGAAAGAATGTAAGACGATTGTCCCTCCTCAGATTTACCTGGCCGACTCGATAAAATACAAATTAACTGTAATAAATTTTAAATGATTTAGCTTTAATTTGCAAATATTGAATCTATTTTTGTTTTTCAGGATCATCAGCTCGTCGCTTCGAAACATTGTTCGAGAAGGTCCAAAGCATCAATGTTTTTAAAACGAAAATACTCGAAAGTTATCACGAATGGGATAGACGATCGGCCGAAACGATAGGTATAATAAAGCAGATAGAAAATTCATTAAAAATTTTAGAAGCAACATATATTGGTATGATAATAGGAGTAATAAGTGCCATCGCTGGATACATCTGTTCGATATTTGCCATGATTTTTTCTAACTACAAAGCTGTATCTGACACTTTGAAGAGTGTAGGAGACAGTTTGATAGACCCAGGGGATATAACTTTCGCAGGCTCTGCTATTGTTAATAGCGTGTTTACAGAAAAGGACTACAAGAAAGCCGAAACAACTTTGAATACATTAATGACACTTACGCAAGAACTGGAAGACGAAAGAAAGAAATATTTCAGATTGGTGAAAGAGTTTGAAACTATACTGGATGGGCTAAACGAAAATGAGCTGAAGGTCCTTCGTATTTATTTAGAAAAAAATGAGCTCGGTAATGTGATGAACGACGTCGATTTAGATCCCTCCGTTGTGGACAATATTCCTCCCAATATGCGAGAAATGGATCGCTTAAAGATAAATGAGGATGTAATTAATAAAAAAATATTCGAATTTAATCTAATTCGAATAATTTCGGAAGAAATAAAGAAGGATCCTGTAATGGAACATATACTGCACATTATTTATGAACGTGAGAATGGTCAAAATGCCTTCAACACTCTCCAAACTATTCCCAGCTTCAAATTCATTGCGAATGGCGTTGACTTATTTGGCAACAAACTTCACGATTTAAAGTATTCACCGTTTCTCGATGGTATGTCTAATGTTTTTTCTCTACTTGAAAAGACCTTGACTCTGACTCATCTCATTGCAAAACAGGAGGAAGTCAGTGCTCAATGTGAAGAAATTGGGCGCATTGTTAAACAATTAGAAGAATATAAATCGGATATGAAGGATATTTTTAGGATGACTTTAAAGTGGGATTGCTTTCACGAGAATTAACGTTGTATTGAGAATGGAAAACGCTACTATCTTGTGTTGTTTTGGATCACGATGGGCTATGAACCATGAAACAATTCACTCGGTGCTAAAGTTATGACTTGACCAGTGCTTATGTTTTGCAGCCTATCACAAGTTAAGCCAGATTTACAATTTTGGCAGTGGAATTGAAAGAAATCGGTTCAATGAGTTCGTGTCAAATCGTGTACAGAAATTGCAGANCTTATAAATAAGATATACAGAGTGATACAAATGTCAGAATACACAAGCAAAGACACCAGTTTATTGTGCAATTACATACATATAAATCACTAATTATAATCTGTATAAATGTAATTTAATTAAATTTACAAAAAAGAGCATTTCTTCCAACCCTGGCAAAACCTGAAAATGAGTAAGTTAATTTACCACGAGTGTTTGTGTGACTAGTTTTGAATCACCCCGTATAGTTATTCTCCAACTTTCTCCATTAGCCTGCGAACGACCAGCAATACATCGTTCAGCATAAGGTGAAAGATACAAAAGGTAGTTTCTGATCCGATAAGAAACTTCCTCCATGTGTGTGTGTGAATTGTAGTGTTGTATATGGTTGTCGTCTTGTGTTGTCACCACGCTACCGCTCCCAATGTCGGAAAAATGAACAATAAAAGAATTTATTTTAAAATAATATTAGAATTACTTTCCATTTTCGAATTAATTAAGAAAATAATTACATCTTTAATTAATAAATTTTGATATGTTTTAAGCTGAATGAAAAATTTTGCTTTATTTTAATTTAAAAAAAATTTTTTACAGCCAATTTCAAAGCAATGATTGTCTTCGTTGTGATTTTCTTGTCAATTCTTTGTTCAGAAATATTTGAAATCTCCGAATCAAACGGTAATCTTTGTAAATTATATTATTCTAATTATTATTTTATTATTATATTCAAATTGAGTGTTGATTTAACCGTACTTTTCAAGTTATAATTCTTACTATTGTTGATTATTAATACAGAGAGAAAGAATGTAAGACGATTGTCCCTCCTCAGATTTACCTGGCCGACTCGATAAAATACAAATTAACTGTAATAAATTTTAAATGATTTAGCTTTAATTTGCAAATATTGAATCTATTTTTGTTTTTCAGGATCATCAGCTCGTCGCTTCGAAACATTGTTCGAGAAGGTCCAAAGCATCAATGTTTTTAAAACGAAAATACTCGAAAGTTATCACGAATGGGATAGACGATCGGCCGAAACGATAGGTATAATAAAACAGATAGAAAATTCATTAAAAATTTTAGAAGCAACATATATTGGTATGATAATAGGAGTAATAAGTGCCATCGCTGGATACATCTGTTCGATCTTTGCCATGATTTTTTCTAACTACAAAGCTGTATCTGACACTTTGAAGAGTGTAGGAGACAGTTTGATAGACGCAGGGGATATAACTTTCGCAGGCTCTGCTATTGTTAATAGCGTGTTTACAGAGAAGGACTACAAGAAAGCCGAAACCACTTTGAATACATTAATGAGACTTACGCAAGAACTGGAAGACGAAAGAAAGAAATATTTCAGATTGGTGAAAGAGTTTGAAACTATACTGGATGGGCTAAACGAAAATGAGCTGAAGGTCCTTCGTATTTATTTAGAAAAAAATGAGCTCGGTAATGTGATGAACGACGTCGATTTAGATCCCTCCGTTGTGGACAATATTCCTCCCAACATGCGAGAAATGGATCGCTTAAAGATAAATGAGGATGTAATTAATAAAAAATTATTCGAATTTAATCTAATTCGAATCATTTCGGAAGAAATTAAGAAGGATCCTGTAATGGAACATATACTGCACATTATTTATGAACGTGAGAATGGTCAAAATGCCTTCAACACTCTCCAAACTATTCCCAGCTTCAAATTCATTGTGAATGGCGTTGATTTATTTGGCAACAAACTTCACGATTTAAAGTATTCACCGTTTCTCGATGGTATGTCTAATGTTTTTTCTCTACTTGAAAAGACCTTGACTCTGACTCATCTCATTGCCAAACAGGAGGAAGTCAGTGCTCAATGTGAAGAAATTGGGCGCATTGCTAAACAATTAGAAGAATATAAATGGGATATGAAGGATATTTTTAGGATGACTTTAAAGTGGGATTGCTTTCACGAGAATTAACGTTGTATTGAGAATGGAAAACGCTACTATCTTGTGTTGTTTTGGATCACGATGGGCTATGAACCATGAAACAATTCACTCGGTGCTAAAGTTATGACTTGACCAGTGCTTATGTTTTGCAGCCTATCACAAGTTAAGCCAGATTTACAATTTTGGCAGTGGAATTGAAAGAAATCGGTTCAATGAGTTCGTGTCAAATCGTGTACAGAAATTGCAGAGGATTTTATATCTGTAAGCCTTTCACTGAATCATAAGCAGCATACTCTTCAATTACATCGATCTCCGAACCGTCAATAGGAGACGTGCTGAAAAGTCAGTTAACAAAAATGTACATGAATTACCATATTTTTTTTTTAATTCGACATTTAGTTGCTTTCAGTAATTATCAGTTTTCAAAATACCTTATAAATAGGATATATCATGGTTAACTGATTTCTGGGCCAGCCGATATAACCTTAACCAGAATTTATGAATTTTTTGCAATTAAAATTGTTTTATAATTCAGAATCAAAGATCCAACTGAATAATGAAGTTATGAGTAGATTTTAATTTTTAATAAATTAAAGCCTATTTTATTTGTTTGGAAATGTCATTTTGTAATTAATTAATTAATTAATTTGAAACATGCTTTTATTTTAAAAATAAATAATTTAAATAAATTACATTAGAAAAGTATTGTCTGAAGTAAAATTATCTTTCAGTTTAATTGTTGAGAATTACAATAAAATTTAAGGTTTTATTCTCTTTACTTCAGTTATACGCAATTACGGTAATAAATAAATTTTAATTTACGCCTGTCAAAAATATTCGTCTTTTAGTCACTTTTCGTTTCTAGAATAAAACTTTGACGACAGTGAGCTTTTATTATAGGCTATTTGGCAATCCCACAAAAATAAAGATTTCCTTAAATACGTGAAAAACGCCTCTTTTAAACGTATAAAACACTTTAAAAATCAGGAAAGGAGATTAAACTCCTCTACTCTTGAGTTTTTAAGTCGCAAAAACAACACATTTGAACTTTGAATGCAATAATAGGTTATTGTTAATATGTGAGGTACTCAGCAACAGATGATCCATAATTGTCATGCTTCTGTTCATAAAATGAGATATACAACACAAAGACAATTCGGAGGGGCGCCTACATTTCTTGAAACCTTCTCCAGATAGTCTATCTTTGTGAGAGAAATTTACGAGAAACTGGCCCTATTTAGGTGTCAGTCACGCCAATAAATACTGGAAAACTCAACAAGACCAGTCTGTTAGTAGGGCGCAAACCCACGACCAGTGTTCAGTAATGTTATCAAAAAACGTTCGCCAGTAATGTGGAACCAAATGGGCTTACGTTAATTCAAAATTAAACAAAAAGGAGCGTGAGAATTTATATTATATTACGTGTGCATTAATTTTACAGATGGGATAAAAATTACATTTCGGATAATGTTAAAGTGAAAGAAATAAATCAATTGACGTTATCTCATTGATTGCACAGTAATTACGTTATGTTGAATAAACTTTATACCCTGGAGAAAACAGAGTTTTTATTTATCTGACATTAAAACCTATGTGATGATAAACGCATTTGGAAATTTTCAAACTGAATCCAAAATGTCTGTTTAGAAAATATTCGATGATTCTGATATTGAAATTTTCTTTCATTTTATGTAATTATCAATCGATATTCGGTTACATATAATATGTTGGAGTTAAAATTAGAAATAATTTAACAAATTTATACATTCTAAATTATATCGTTCAAAGGGAAAATCAACGACTAATTTTTTGTTGAAAGTTATCACTCATACCCGGTAGGGTAAGCTTTCTGACAGGCGAGATTGCAGCATTTCGGTATTAGAGAACTCCGATGTAGCGTATTATTAGCAAGCACAGAATGCATTTAGCGAGTTTTTGAGTTTTTAGCGAGTGCTGAGTCATTTTCGATCCATTTTCCTGAAAGCCCAACACAGACCAATTGAATAAAGCTACTGAACACGTGCCATGGGTTTACGCCTCGCGAACTTCTTTCTCCTCCTGTCATCCCTTCAATCCAGTCTGTTCTTCTAGAAATCCGATGGGTTGGCCAATACCAATCGAATTCCACCTACAATACATATATCATTTCGCAATATATAAGCCTATATGAAAAATCACATAATTCTAAATGCTGTAAGTTCGTGTAATAACGATGATTAGTAGAATGAATAATTTTAAAAACCACCATAATTTTATTTATTTCTCTAAAAGTAGATAATATATACCGTATAAAATTAATATGAATACTTTATTGACTCTTTTCTCTCTTTCCTCCTTAAAGCTTAGATTAAACAGAAATATTGTATTACGTCAAGGTTACTCAAACGAGTACATTAACTTTTACGATTAGCCAATTAAATATCTAAGAACTCACAAAGTCACCAATGAAAAAAGTGTTATTTGACCCATTTTCTAATCAACATTCATCGTGAATGTTGAAAGAAAGCCTATACAAGCGTTTATTTGGGAGCGGCGGTAATTACTTCGTCAGCGTGATCAATACGGAGCTATCTGGTTCAAGGGATGGGATTAAAATCACGAAAAGTATTTTTACTTCTGAATTGTTCGACTATCTTTCAATGATTGGACTGTTTTTTCTCATCCCATTCTTTCTATGCACGCGCGAATTGATGGAACAATTTTTAATTGTCCGAACGTGAGGTTCCTTTTATCCAAATCGATTTGGAATCGATTCCAACCCGACGACGCTGTTGCCCAGGAAGTAGCTTCACGCCAAACAAAAACGTCACGTTACGTCACTTAAGTAAAGTACAGTACACCTGAATCTCTGAACGCAGCGTAACTCGGTAATTCGAAAAAAATCTTTGTTAAACTTCTGTTCTCTGTCTTTCACATTGATAAATGTCTGCCAAATACGAAAGTATCTGAATGTTTTACCGACAACTTCCTGGTCGATGGATGTTATCGCTCTTAGTCATATCCTCCGACTCTTTACTTTCGAAATGCAATCTTTTATAAACAATAATTTTATCACGTTTGTTTCTCTCGATTAAATAAATTAAAATATATAAAATGAATGTTAATATACTATTTTCAAAATATCCACATTTCTTTTAAATGTAATTAAGCTAATTTACTTATATAAAATTTTTAATAAACCAGTTTTAATTACTTTCCCAATTAGGTGGAGGCAATAGAGACACGTGGTTGCTTCTGTGAAAGACGAAACGTATAATCCCAGTCAGGGTCTTAGTCGAGTTAACGTGACATCAACAACCACGTGTTGCGAGTGTCACGTGTCACTACCTCGTTCATTGAATGGTCTGACTGATCGAGTTAGTGACGGGTGATATTTTAACACGTTCGAGTTTCTTCTCTCCCGCCCTTTACTACCCAATAATGACCAATGTTGCCCAAGACGAGACAGTAAAATGGTTGTTTTAATGCCTGAAAGGTGAAATGAATTAAAGAAAATCATGTGTTTTACGTGACATTTGCTTTAAACTTCGTACTCTGTATGTGATTAGATAAAAACGGATTAAAATAGCTTCATTTTGTTAGCAATTTCATCGTTCTCCACATTAATTACGCGCTTATTCAATCCTAAGGTAAGATTTATTCTCAATAATAAACAAAGAATAGTTTAAATCTTAAGTTAATTTATATTAATTAATTTAATATATTTATAAGGTCCACGTAGAATGAATGTAATATAAAACGAGGCTTTATATATAAATGTATATATAATTATTTTATAATTTTAACCCCTTGGGTTCTTCTTGGTCTACTGTTAATAAAAAATGTAAACCAATAATTAAGAATTGTAAAATTATGTAATGATACACTTGGGAGTGTTAATTAAAATTCATTATAAGCACCATAGAGCTGTTTAATCATAAAATAGTGAAGAAAATTGAATACCATTTATATTCCCTGGGTGATCTCGTTACTTCTGATAAGAGAACATAATGCATTAATCCTGAGGATACTCTCGACTGTTTAATATGTGTTTTTATTTCAGTCATTTTAATTTAATTATTAAAAATCACGAACAATTTTAACATAATAAGGTCTTTTTTGACTTAAATATTGTCTCTTTCAACATAAGTTGGTACTTGTCTAACCAGATTAAACCACTCTTTATTTACTAGTTTATTAGAGTAAATAGTTAATTGTTAATCTCAACCCCAAGTGAGACATTTAATACTCTTTTTTCCCTTATGAAAAGTTTAAAATGCTGTAGTCTGGTTTGACAATTGCCAAATTATGTTAAAAGAATCATATGTCTAAATTAAAAAAAATTATTTTATTGCAAAAACTCACTCGAATATATTATTTTAATCAACAGAATTTCCATCAACGCCCTACTTATGGATATAAAATCAATTGTGATTTTCCTATCAATTGTTTTTTCAGGAATTTCTGAGAAAATTGATGGTATACCAAAAGGTAGTTTTTGTGTTTAATTATTTTAAACACTTTTTAAATATACGAAATTTTAAATTTAGAATTAGAAATTTTATTATTATTTTAATTATTTTAGCTAAATCGCAATTATTTTTCGAAAAAAGTTTGTAGTTTTATGATATTTTGTATGACTTTTTGCCCTGTGACCACTAACAAAACCTTTTTTCATGTTCATCATGGGCTAGGCTAGTCCACACCTCATATCACGACTCTAAGTGTATGACCCTGCTCCGTCAAATGGCAGTACAGAGTACTAAGAGACTGCATCTTAATCATCGGCAGTCGGGCTCCCAGTAATCACTGCGGTGTCTGAACGATTAAAACCAGACTGAGTTAAATGCTCGGGCTCTGGTAGTACAACCCAACGGGGACTAGCCTTCCTCGCCTTCCTCGCTCTCAAGTCCAATCCTCGTACCTTGTAATACAATTTTGATGCATCTTGCTCTGCATTTTGAGTCCAAGCAAAGAGAGACCAACTCGTATATACGGACAGAGAAACCGCCTCTGTGAAGGCACTTGGCGCTTGCCCTCTTTCTAGGGCAAGCGCCAAGTGCCTTCACAGAGCTTAATTTTCTATAAACGAATTATTTCCTTCGACTTCATTTTCTGTTGTTTTCAATGGCAGTTTAATCCGAAACTGCAGTAAAAAAATGGGGTCCATGACTTCGTTTTCGATATACAATGGTATTACAGTGATAATGTCAATGCTCTCTGATGGGACGAGCTCACCTAACAAAATTTAGGCTTAGGGGTTAAAAATAAAAACAGCATTTCGTGCGCCTAACGAAAAATAGGCGAGAAAAACGAACAAAACACAAGACCAAAGCAATCGGTGGTTCGTCTCTGCGTACCTGCCCAGTGCAAGAATCGTGTCTTTCGTGGCCTGCAGGTACGAGGAAAGCCTCTTTTGTGGCAGGAACTGCAAAGGTTTACCTTGTCTGCGCTGTACAAGAATCTTCTCTATTGTGTCTGACAGGTGCAGGGATCACTTCTTTCCTTCCGGCTCCGCATCAATTTACCGCAAAATGACAAAGTCGCGCGATATTCTAGTTTATCATAAGTTTCTTTCCTTAATGTTTAAAACAGCCGGCCGCCACTGTTTTTCAATCGGGATGCACGGTATCGTAGGGTGCCACAACGACAGTTCCGGGTGCAGCGAAATATAATGCTCAGCATCGCCATAACAGGAATTACGTGAAACTTCTCACTAAAAGTACGAAGAACAAAATAACTTTACATTGATAAAGAAACGGGGTGCTGCAGAAATTTCAAAGTCGATGGTGCCACTATTAAATAGATGTTGAAAACACTGATTAAAGAGGTTAAGACATCAGCCTATTATACTAGAGAGCCCAGGTTATAAAACCTGAGGTGAAATTCCCTGAAAACTTTTTGTAGTGATCGATTCTAATCGATTCTGATCGATTTTGTAGTGATCGATTCGGGGCATTTTTGTGCTCATCTTGAGCGGTAAAGGCCTAAAACCACAAAGAAATCTAAGGAGTTGAGACCCTCACCCCATTCTGAGCTTCACATAACACATAACATACGTGAAATAAAACCTCTTAGTACTCAACACCTGAAAAGCTTCTACTTTTAATATTCGCTTTAGTCTAACATTAGCATACAAAGCGGATACCAGAACTGCTACAGAGAAAAAACAACAACAGTGTTGATACTTCGGTCTCTTCCCTTTCGGAAAAATATTTAAAAAAATAATTTCTAGACGAAAATATATAGCAAATAATAATTACAAATATGTCGTATTCATTTTTAATATTTATATTTATTACAATTCCAGATGGTCTATCAACCCGACGTTTCGAAAAATTATACGGAAAAGCTCGAAGCATCAATTTTTTTAAAACGAAAATTTCCAAAAGTTATCAAAAATGGGACAAAGAAGCGACAGAAACTATAAAAATCTTAAAGGAAGTAGAAAATTCCTTAAAAAGTTATTCGAAAGCAACAAATATTGGGCAGATAGTTGGAGAAGTGAGTACAATTCTTGGAACCTTCGCTTCGCTTTGTGGAATCTTTATTTTAAAGGATGAAATGATGGCTGAAACTTTCAAACGTATAGGAAGAGGCTTCACAATAGCGGGAACTGTAACTGTTAAAGGTTCTACTATCCTTAGTAAAGTATTGGCAAAGAAAGGCTGCAATTCAGGCAAAAGACCCATGGATGCATTAATGACACTTACACAAGAACTAGAAGATGGAAGAAAGGAATATTTCAGACTTGTGAAAGAATTTGAAGCGATATTGGATGGGCTAAACGAAAATGAACTGAAGATCCTTCAAAATTATTTAGAAGAAAATCAGCTCGGAAATGTGATGAACGACGTTGATTTAGATCCTTCCGTTATAAACAATATTCCTCCAATTATAAGAGAAATGGATCGCTTGAAGATAAGAGAAGATATACTTAATATAGAAATTTTCGAATTTAATTTGATACCGAAAATTTCGGAAGAAATAAAGAACGATCCGATAATGAAAGAGATTTTGTCCATGAGAAGTGAATATGTACCATTTGCAAATGGCGAAAACGCATTCCTGTCTCTTCAAGCTGTTTCCAGCTTAAAATCCATGATGAATGTTGTTGATTTAATACCAATTGATAACAAAATACACAAATTTAACAATTCGCCGTTTATAGATGGTGTGTCTAATATATTTTTGCTGGTTGAAAAGATAATAAATCTGACTGTACTTATGTCCAGTGGAAATGAGGTTAGTGCTCAGTGTGAAGAAATTGGGCGTGTTGCGAACGAACTGAAACAATATACATCAGATATGAGGGATATTCTAAGTGACACTTTAAAATGGGAATACGGTGAAGATAATTTAATTTCTATCGACGACGCAAATTATATTAAGATCGGTTAAATATGACACGTTTTAATACATTTTCATATCTAGTCAAAAACATATGTAGCAGAACTTTGGGGACTTATAACCATAGATTCTGTGTAATTTAAATTGTAAACTGTATTCGGTACTTGTTAGATATTAATGCCATATTATTGAATATTATAGAGTATATTCGTGAATTTGTATGATATGTTTCATTCGATATAACCCATTAACAATTGCCAATAATCGTTGTTATAATAATATAAATAATTACAAAACTTCCATTAAAAATTTTTTAAGTCATTCATGAAAATCTATGGGGATTTCATCTGTAATTTCTTGGTTTCCCGAAGTGGTATCATCCCTTCTCGGTAGATCGCCCATCTGTCGTGTTGAATATCATTGAGAACGTACAGAACCAATGTTTCCAATGACGAATTTTTTCTTTATCAAGAATTAAATTGATCATAATTAAAGACATTCATTGATCGTGTGTAAAATACTTTTAATCATCTGTCTAAACACATTTTATAGATAATAATCAGAATTATAATGAAAACCTTATTTTATTACTTTTTTTAAAGTATTTAAAGTGATTTACTTTGTCAAACTGTATTTGGTGTTGATTTTTACCAACAAATTATTATAACCGTTATCCATGGGTCGTTTTCTTTCTACCTTGTATATACTTTTCCGACTGTTATATATACATAACAGGGAAATTATTGGGATCATATCAAATTTCACCCTTCGAGTTTGCTGCAAATCTTCACGTTTTGAGACCTGAACCCCAAAAATTGTAGAAACTCCATCTGCGTGTATTTGTATGTTTCTAGGGTATGGGTGGGTGCATTGTTAAGTGTTTTGGCATCTATTTCGTTTAATATCTCAGGATGGTGTAAAGATTAAAAAATGAAATTTGGCATGGTAACTTTAACTTCTGTTAAAGGGCATTAATGCTATCAAATTTTAGTGATTAAACGTTGAAGGAATGGGAGGATAGAGGCGGTCATGTATTATATCACAAGAGGGATTAATGAAGATTTTACTATTTCTTAGCATTTACAATTTTTTTTTTTTTTATAAAACTCGTTTCCACCCTCAAAATTAAGCATTTTGCCAATTTATAATAATTCATAATATAAAATTTTTTATAATAAATGTCACAACAGATGGCTCTACACAACTTTTTATTTATAATGATTAATAGTATAAAAGTTATTTTTTAAATAAAAGTACATAATAACCAAAAAAGTTACGCAACTCGTTGGTAGGTTTTTTACGATTTAAAGACAAATTATACATTAATGTTTAAGTAAAATATTTTAAAATATTAAAGACTTACATTTTTTAATTTTTAAAACAGACCATAAATTATAGTCAACTGAAACATCTATAACTATTGTACACAAACTTAACAATTCATAATTAATTAATGGTCCGTCAAATATATTTTTGTTAATTGATAGCATAGAAAATCTGAATATACTTATGAAGTGATGAGGTGAGTGCTTAGTGTAAAGAAATTTGGCGTGTTGCGAACGATTTGGAACACAGATCAGATATAAGGAATATTTTAAGTGAAAGCTTAAAATGGGCTTTCGTTGAAGATAATTAATTTCTATCGAAAATGGAAATTGTTATAAGGCTGACTGAATGTTTTTTCATATATAGTCGAAAATATATGTCGACTTGATAGATCTGATCATAGATTCTGAGTAGTTTAAGTTGTAAATGATATTCATTCAGAGAAATCTTAAAAAGAAATTGACTTTTACATTATAAAATTCATAAAATGGAGAGAAATTTCTTGCTCGAAACATTTATATTGTATTCATTTCTGAGTAATTTGATTTATTGTTTAGTTCATCATCTTTGATACTTGTTAGATATTAATTAATGTCATATTCGTAAATCATATTATTGATTTTTATATTGTATATTCATACATTTGAGTGATATATAGTATTTTATACAGTAATTATAATAGTGAAAATAAATAATTTACAAACTTACATGAAAAATTTGTACAGTCATTTATGAAAATCTGTCAGGGGCGAATTATCTGGGCTTGCTTAGCACGCGCCGCATGCTTAAGCCCTGGGCCCACAGAATTTGAATTATTATAATAAATTTTTAATACTTTTTCTTTATAATATACCTCATATATAGATATAATGGGCTTTATAGTAGTCCATACTTTTTTATTCACACCAAATAACGTTTCTGCCTATTGTTTAGTGCTAGAGATAGGTCTATTATTATTATTATAACTTTCAACATGCCCAAAAAATTTTGGTTCGGATTCGCCCCGGAAAGCTGTTGCGATTTGATCTGTAATCACTTGAATTTTCGGGTAGTATCCCGTTGAAGATACTCCGACCGTCAGTTATATGGTCACCCAAAAGTAAATTCATAATAAAGTTTAATATTTTTCCTCGCTCTAAAAAATTTTATCTTTATAATAATATCATATTTTGTAGGGGAGGAAAAATGGGATATTTGGCATCTGTTCCGAGCGGCAGAAACTACGCTACGCCACTGACTACATGGCACCACGTTACCTAGCTCTTCCATTGCCTCTGCTGTAACTGCATGCCCTCTATCGACCTAAACCAATTGTCCTTTTCTTTCGTCCACATATCAGCAGTCACGCTCAACTCCTTCCTCTCATCCAATCGGAAATTTTCAACTTTTATTTAACTATTTCAAATATATGTTCTTTAGCCGTGTCAAGCGACTCACCGACGTTATGTTTGAGATCAGTCCCCTCAGTTCACACTGGACAAAATCTCAAAGGATTTAAATTTCAGTGACTCATATTTATCGAATATTTTTTAAGCTTAAATGCCAATTCATTTTATTTTTTACTTTTTACTTTAGTTTAGTTAATTTATTTACTTTAAATTAAACTAAACGAAACTAAATCATTTGTGAAATATTACTGCTCAAACTGCTCGCCCAGGCGAACTACATCGATAAACATCGTTTCGGGTTTCTCAATGTCATCTGTCTAGTGGTTATAAGACTTTTGAGCCATCGAATAATTGAGAGGGGATGAAAAACTTATAAGACCTAATGCCCGGAATGCAAGAATCTTCACAATATTCATGAATGACTGAACAAATTTATTCAAATAAGTATGTAAATTATTTATTATCATTATTAAAATTACAATTATTGGCATGTGTTAATGGGATATGATATATCGAATAAAGTGTATCATTCAAATTCATTAACTGAAAATGTAATCAATAATATACTTTACGAACATGGCATTAATATCTAACAATTAAGTATCAAATATAATAAAGTAAACAGAAAACATTAACGAATAAAATTTAATTGTTTCGGTCGAAATATTCTACTGCATTTCTGAATTTTATAATAGAAAAAATCAATTTAATCTCAAGTTTCTCTGACTGAATACAGTTTACAATTTCACTTCAAAGAACCAACCGTTATGAACTTTCAAAGCTCTGACACGTAACTTTTATTTTTGACTAGATATAAAAGCATAAAAGATATTCAGTCACTCTTAAGACGATTTCCATCTTCGATAGAAACTAAATCATCTTCGACAAAATGCCATTGTAGCGACTCACGTAAAATATCCTTAATATGTGATCTATATTCTTCCAATTCATTTGCAATACGCCCAATTTCTTCACACTGAGCACTCACTTCACCTCGGCTGGAGATGAGGATAAAAAGACTAATTATGCTTTCAACTAGCAAAGATATATTAGACAGGCCATTAATAAACGATAAATTGTTAAATTTGTGTATTTTGTTATCAATTGGTATTAAGTCAACGACACTCATCATAGATTTTATGCTGGAAACAGCTTGAACACCCTTGATGGCATTTTCGCCATTTATAGATGGTACATATTTACATTTCATGGACAAAATCTCTTTCATTATTGAATTGTTCTTTATTTCTTCCGAAATTTTCGGTATCAGATTAAATTCTAAAATTTCTATATTAAGTATATCTTCTCTTATCTTCAAGCGATCCATTTCTCTTATAATGGGAGGAATATTGTTTATAACAGAAGCATCTAAATCAACGTCGTTCATCACATTTTCGAGCTTATTTTCTTCTAAATAATAATGAAGGCTTTTCAATTCGTTTTCGTTTAGTTCATCCAATATTGTTTCAAATTCTTTCACTAGTCTGAAATATTCCTTTCTTCCATCTTCTAGTTCTTGTGTAAGTGTCTTTAATTCATCCAAGGTTCTTTCAACTGAATTACAGCGGTTCTTCGTCAGTTGTTTATTAAGAATAGTAGAACCTTTAACAGTTACACTTCCTGCTACTGTCAAGCATTTTCCTACACGTTTGAAAGTTTCAGCCGTCTTTGCATCGTTCAAAAGAAAGATTCCAGAAAGGGAAGCGATAGCTCCAATAATGGAACTGGCTTCTCCAACTATACTCGCAATTTCTGTTGCTTTTGAATAATTTTTTAATGAATTTTCTACTTCCTTTAAGAATTTTATAGTTTCTGTCGCTTCTTTGTCCCATTTTTGATAACTTTTGGAAATTTTCGTTTTAAAAAAATTGATACTTCGAGCTTTCCCGTATAGTCTGTGTATATGACGAGGTGATAGACCTTCTCGAACTGTAATAAATTTAAACATTAAAAATAAGTATATTTCTAATTATTACGGGCAAAATTTCTTAAATGAGGTAATAAATTATTCAAAAATTATTCGAGAAGATAGGCTGAAGACTCGAAATTATCTTCCGTTAAGTGTGGACGTTATGGCATCAACCTCGCACATGTTAGACTAAGCAAAAATAAAACTAAAATGCTTTCAGCCCTGCAGGCACAAAGAAAAACTTGTTCCGATCTGTCGTGGATTAGGCCAAGCCTAAAACGGGACGACCGAGTGGTGAGGGACACAATCAATACAATTTAAAACAAATCAGTATGAAAAGTTTTGTTTCACTGATCACTTCGAATTTTATCCATTCCCATAGAGCGGTAGGCTGATGCCTTAACCATTTAATTCAGTGTTTAATGTATTTTTATCGATATAGAGTTATTACCTTTTTCGTATATTTAGTAATATGTTACAGACATGGGCGTAGCCAGAGTTTTGTTGTGGGGGGCCTAGTAGAGCCCAACCTAACACAAAATTGAATTATTTGAAATTTTTCATAACATTGGGCACAGTGGACCTTTTTTTTTTTTTATTAGTATTCAAAATTTTTAGCTTTAAGTTTTTTGTTGTTTCCAAATCGGCTTAACACTTTTTCGGCTGTGATTTTCTAGGGGAGCACCAGGTTCACTGGGGAGGGCCGTGCCCACCCAGGCTCCCCCCTCGCTACGCCCATGGTTACAGATAAGAAGTGTCTCATCGCAGCGCAGCACTAAATTTCGCGGCACCCCTAAAAAGTTGTTGTAGCAACCCTAGGGTACCGCATTATCCAGGGAGAAACAAATGCCTAGAACTAGACATTGATTTTCTATCCCGGCCAGGTGACCGGCTGTTTAAATATTAATGAAAAAACTTATAATAAAAAATTATACACTATTCTATACCTATTCTAACTATAACTCATCGCTCGACTGTCCTCTATTGCCGGCCTCTCTGAACCCACGAGAAGTATGGATTAAACACCCTCTTAGTGGTTACAGAGTGAGCAAAGATTCAGGGGAACCATGAAACTAAAAAGTTGTGATTTAGATAAAAGATAATGAAAATTTCTAAAACTAAATTTAAAATTTGAAAAGTGTTTAAAACAATATAAAATGCAAGATTTACCTTTCTGTACCTCAGTAGTTTTTTCAGCCATCCCTGAAATAACAATTAAAAAAAATTAAAATTAATTTTATATTCACGAATTACGTGTTTATAAAATTTCTATAGATTAAAAAAACAACATCTTCAAATAAATTTTTGCGATAAAACTAAATTTTTTGTCTATCAAATTTAGACCTGCTTCAATCAAAGATAGATTATTATATTAATATTGTAAGTATCTTTTAATAAGTGAAATTAAACGATTGAAAACGGAGGAAAGTAGTAATCTAATGGATCAAAACACTTGTCTACAAGCAATTTATATCGTCATTTTCATTATTTTCGAGTTTCGCTTCATAATTAATTATTGCATTTGCGTGCAGATTGCTCGCGGTTTATGTCTTAAATAACATTGAAACGATACGAGTAATAATGTTTATCTACCTAAAAATAAAAGTAATAAAGACCATTAAAGGTAATTGAAAAAGATCTCTCGCAATTATTACTATGTTAAAATTTATGCATTACTTTTTCCCCCTTTTCAAAGCAATTCAAGTAGAAAATTAGGTTTTATGATTAAAATTATAAAATAATTTTGTATCCATTTATATAATAATGCGTCATCTTATATTACATATGTTATACGTCTACAATCAACATACGTAAAGCTTATAAATATATCAAATTAATTAATATAAAATACACAATGTATTTGAATATATTGAAGTTATATTCATAACGAATATTTTGGTTAAAATTTACACTATTCTTTTCTTATTATACAGAATAAATCTTACCTTAGTATCGGAGAAACGTAATTAATATCGAGAACGAGTTAAATAAATAAATTGCTAACAAAATGAAACTATTTTAATCAGATTTTATCTAATCACGTACAGAGTACGAAGTTTTTGTCAACTAAAACACATGATTTTCTCATTTCATCTTTCAGGCATTAAAAGAACTATTTTCCTATCTCTTCTTACCGAACAATGGGCATTATTGGGTAGTAAAGAGCGGGAGAAAAGAAATTCGAAAGTGTTGAGAATATCACATGTCACTGACTCGTTCAGTCAGATCATTCTTTACTGTCTCCACCGAATTGGGAAAGTAATTTAAATTGATTTATTAGAATTCTTATAAAAGTAAATTAGCTTAATTACATTTAAAAGAAATGTGGATATTCTGAAAATATTTTATTAACATTAATTTTATATATTTTAATTTATTTCGTCGAGACAAACATAAAACTGATAAAATTATTTTTTTTTTTTAATCAAAGATTGCATTTCGAAAATAAACAGTCGCAGGATATGACTAAGAGCGATAACATCCATCGACCAGAAAAAAATTCAGGTACTTTCGATTTTGGCAGACATTTACAAGTGTGAAAAAGAGAAAACAGCAGTTTAACAAGGAATTTTCCGAATTACCGAGTTAAGCTGCGTTCAGAAAGGCAGGTGTACAGTACATTACCTAAGTGACGTAACGTAACGTTTTTTTTTTTGCCGTGAAGCTATTTCAAGGTCAACGGCGTGGTCAGGTTGGAATCGATTCCAAATCGATTTGGATACAAGGAACCTTACGTTCGGACAATTAAAATTGTTCCACCAATTCGCGCGTGCAGAGAAAGGACTGGAGGAGAAGAAACAGTCCAATCGTTGAGAGTTGGTCGAACAATTCATAAAAGTAGTAGTGGTTTGACACATACTGATCACAAAATTAATTTCAGATGTTGAATAAATTAAAATTACAAATGATTTTTAGAATTAAATTAAAATTGCAAATAAAAATTTGTCAAATGAAATTATTTCAGATCACAAAATGAATTTTTCGATCACAAATTTTAATTAAATTAATTATATTTTAACAATAAGGCTGTATTAATTATTAAATGTTTTAATATCCAATAAAATTAAAACACTACAATTTGAAATAATATTATAGCAATAAGACAAAGTAAAATAGGGAAATAGTTTAATATAATAATTATTTAAATTATATTTGTTACTTATTTATTAAATACCTTTATACAATGATTTTGAAAATATCTTTTGTTTAATTAAGAATTGTTCGTAAGATAGAATATCGCAAAAAGAACAATGCTTTTTAAAATATTTGCGGCAATAACAATTTTTTAATATTATCCAATCTTAAACACCCCAAGAAGTTTCATGTCAAAATAATTGTTGTTCCAATTTTTAAGAAGATTTTTTTTCTATCTGTCCACCTTTAAAATAAAAATAATTCATTATATGTTGTGAAATAATAAGTTTTGTAAATTAATATGCTTGATCCGGCCAGTTATATCCGATGTTTTTTGTATATAAAATTTAATTGATGAATTTTTTTGCTAGTATAATTGACTCGCCATTGATCTTTCGTCGATAATTGATACTTTTTAACAGAATCTATATAAATGTCTATTACAGCTTCTATAAGACTGTGTAATGTTTTTATGGTCAACTGTCGATAACTCGAAATGCTTCAAAATCTATTAGAATCGCATTCTTTAATTTTATATAAATAAAAATTAGGATTAGTATTATTTTGTATTCAATAAGAAAATAACGAAAAGATTTCATACATAAATATTTTTTACTGACCATATAGAATGTTTATTGATATACCAAATGTCTAGTCTTCCTGTTCTTGATATTATATCACAATTATATTCAATTATTTCATCCATTTTATCAAATTGTTATTGTGAAATCTATTAAAATATAATTCTTAAAATTTATATTGTAATTGAATTGAAATGAAACTTATGTTTTTAAAAATAAAAGAAATTTAGTTACTAAAATGAAATGAAAGTAAATCTAAGCTCACTGAACAGTGTGTTAAACAGAGATTTTCGTGGTGAAGCATAAAATGCCTCGAAATTAATAATCATCTCTATATTAGAAAATTAAGTTGCACTAATTTGCAATAATAATTTTTAAAACACGGCAATTTAAAATAATATAACATTAAAGTTTTGTTGATTGTAACAAAAATTACAGCTCTAATTATACTTAAATTCAAAGAATATCGACAGGTTTTTACTACAGTACTTATAGAATGAACCTGATAAAATTTATGAAAGAAAATTTCAAAAATTGTTCGTGGAATAACATGGTTCATCAGAGTTTTATATTTTATAAACTCATCAATATAGTTTAAAATTTGATAATAAAACTATTACTGGACAAATTATTTCTAATCTTACTTTATAAAATATGAGAAATTAGACCAGGAATATGTCGTGTTTTAATTTTATTGGATATTAAAACATTTAATAATTAATGCAGCCTTATTGTTAAAATAAAATTAATTTAATTAAGATTTGTGATCTGAAATAATTCCATTTGACAAATTTTTATTTGCAATCTTAATTTAATTCTAAAAATTATTTGTAATTTTAATTTATTTAACATCTGAAATTAATTTTGTGATCAGTATGTGTCAAACCACTACTACTTATATATATAGCGAAATCATATACAGTATATATATTGTAGGTGGATTTCGATTAATATCGGCCCACCCATCGGATTTCGAAAAGAACAGACGGGATCGAAGTGATGACAAAAAGAGAAAGAAGTTCGCGAGGCGTAAACACATGGCACGTGTCCAGTACTTTCATCCGTTTGGTCTGTGTTGGGCTTTTAGAAAAACGGATGGAAAATGGCTCAGCACTCGCTAAAAACTCAAAAACTCGCTAAATGCGTGCTGTGCTTGCTAATAATACGCTATTTTGGATATCTATAATACCGAAAAGCTGCAATCTCGCTTGTCAGAAAGCTTACTCTACCGGGTATAAGTGATAACTTTCAACAAAAGTCAATCGTTGACTTCCCTTCGAATGACATGATCTAGAATGTATAAATTTGTTAAATTATTTCTAATTTTAACTCCAACATGTTATATGTAACCTAATTTCGATTGATAATTACATAACCGATATAATATCGCATAAAATGAAACAAAATTTCAATATCAGAATCATTGAATATTTTCTAAATAGACATTTTAATTTCAATTTGGAAATTCCCAAATGAGTTTATCATCAAATAGTTTATATCCATCTGAGAAGTGAGATACGCTTATCAGATAGATGAAAACTCTCTTTTGTGGGTATAAAGTTTATTCAACATAACGTAATTACTGTGCAATCAATGAGATAACGACCTGCTCTTACAATACACTTATTTCTTTCACTTTAACATTTTCCGAAATAGAATCTATATCCAACTGTAAAATTCATGCACACGTAACATAATAAAATTCTCATGCTCCTTTTTGTTTAATTTTGAATTAACGCAAGCCTATTTGGTTCGACTTTAACAGCGAACATTTTCTCATATTACTGAATACTGGTCGTGGGTTTGCGCCCTACCAACAGACTGGCTTTGCTGAGTTTTCCAGTATTTATTGGCGTGACTGACACCTAAATAGGGTGAGTTTCTCGTAAACTTCTCTCACAGATAGTCTATCAAGAGGTTTCAAGAAATGTAGGCGCCCCTCCGAATTGTTTTTGTGTTGTATACATGGGCGTAGCCAGAGTTTTGTTATGGGGGGCCTAGTGGAGGCCAACCTGACACAAAATTGAATTATTTCAAATTATTGTTCATTATTGGGCCTCGAGCAAGCCGTTCACCTTTTTTTAGTATTCAAAACTTTTATTTTAGCTTTAGGTTTTTACAAATCGACTCAACACTTTTTCGGCTGTGATTTCCTGGGGAGGGCACCAGGTTCCCTGGGAGGGGCCGTGCCCACCCAGGCTCCCCCCTCGCTACGCCCATGGTTGTATACCTCATTCTATGAATCCAAGCAATGACAATTATGGATCATCTCTTGCTGAGTACCTCACATATTAACAGTACCTACGATTGCATTAAAAGTTCAAATCTGTTGTTTTTGCGACGTAAAAATTCAAAAGTAGATGACCTCAATCTCCTTTCCTGATTTTTTGTGTTTTATACATTATAAGGGGCATTTTTTACGTATTGAAGGAAATCTTTATTTTTGTAGGATTGCCAAATAGCCTATAATAAAAGCACACTGTCGTCAGTTTTATTCTAGAAACGAAAAGTGACTAAAAGACGAATATTTTTTACAGGCGTAAATTAAAATTTATTTATTAATTGCATATAACTGAAGTAATGAGAATAAAACCTTAAATTTGATTGTCTTTTAACTTAATTGTGAAGAATTATAATTTCACATTAAATAAATTACATTAGAAAAGTGTTTTGTAAATTGTTCATTTTTAAAATAAATGCATGTTTTAAATTAATTAATTAATTATTTACAAAATGAAATGTCTGAAATAATAAAGTAGGCTTTAATTTCTTCAAAATTAAAATCTACTCATAACTTCATTATTCAGTTTGTCTTTGATTCTGAATTATATAGCAATTTTAATTGCAAAAAATTCATCAATTCTGTAGGGTCCCAGACGAGGTTCGAACTCGAGTAAACCGTGAAATTCTTGCGAGACACAAAATGTAAACAACGAGACACGGAACGGTTCGAGTATGTGTCAAACTATCTGTTAAGGTCTTATCGGAAGACAAACTCTAACACGAGCGCTCATAAACAGGTAGATCTTTGACACGCGTGTCTATAAAATGTTGGCCGAGATAAACCTTTTCGAACAAAAAATAGAGGGATTTTTGATAGGTGAAAGGTGAAAATGATCGGTAAATTCTTAGACATCAAAAAATGGTAAATAACGGCCTGAATTATGAGTGCAGGTGTTATTATTTTATAAACAGTCACCGAGCAGAGTCGACAAAGAGGTATCGGATGGACACCTCGAATCGGACCTTTCCCGCGACCCGAAAAAGTTTCGTCTTGCACTTGGAGACAAAGGAGAGACCAATCGGGAAGCGAGGAATGGGACGAGGGACCAATCCGAAATGCGAATAGTGCGGGAAAAACTATAAAAATCGAAACTTCAAGGTCGAAGGAGAGTCTCCTCCAGATTAAGTCTACAGTGGTGATTTAGATTGTGTTGTGCATCCGCCGATCACCGAGGACCCCGCGACCTAACAACGAACTTCTGCTTCGTCCAGATATCCTTCTCGTCCGCCCGAACTGCGACCGAGATCACGAACTTTCGCCGTTCCCAGGAGCACCGAGATTTTGGAATTGTCCATTATCGATGTAAGCATGAATTCGAACAAATAAACGGGTTTTATCTTGTAAGATACTTGTACATCATTTGCCTCCTTCGCCACCGCCCACATACGCGGTTTCCCTTAGGCTCATTCTGACGTGAGATAGACTTTTTCCCCCTCAACGTCGGCAGAACTTACAATTCTGGTTAAGGTTATATCGGCTGGCCCAAAAATCAGTTAACCGTGATATATCCTATTTAAAAGTTATGTTGAAACTTAATTTATTGAAAACAACTGAATGAGAAATTTAAAAAATATGGTAATTCATGTACACTTCTGTTAACTGACTTTTGAGCACGTTGCTTACTGACGGTTTGGTGATCGTTGTGGTTGATGAGTATGCTGTTTATAATTCAGTAAAAGGCTTACAGATGTACGATCCTCAAATGATTTCACACTAATTAATTAATCCCGTTTCTTTCCAACAGGTTGCCGGCATTTTGAGCCTGGCTTAACCTGTCATTGGCTGAAAACAGAGGCGCTCTGATGAAGTCACAACTCTAGCACCGCGTGAGTTTTCTAATGATTCACAGCCCATCGTGTTCCAAAACACTGCGAGACACTAGCACTTTCCATTTTCAATGCAACGTTAATTTTCATGAAAGCAATCCCACTTTAAAATCTTCCTAAAAATATCTTTCATATCCGATTTATATTCTTTCAATTGTTTAGCAATGCGCCCAATTTCTTCACATTGAGCACTGACTTTATCTTGTTTGGCGATGAGATGAGTCATAGTCAAGGTCCTTTCAAGTAGAGAAAAAACATTAGACATGCCATCGGGAAACGATGAATACTTTAAATCGTGAAGTTGCCAAATAAGTCAACGCCATTCACAATGAATTTGAACTTAAGATGAGTTTGCAGTGTGTTGAAGGCATTTTGACCATTCTTACGTTCATTCGTCTTGTACAGTATGTGTTCCATTACAGGATCCTTTTTAATTTCTACCGAAATTTTAGGAATTAGATTGATAAAAATTTATTCGAATTTAATTACATTTTTATTTATCTTTAAGCGATCCATTTCTCGAATGTTGGGAGGAATATTGTCCACAACGGAGGGATCTAAATCGATGTCGTTCATCACATTACCGAGCTCATTTTTTTCTAAGTAAATACGGAGGACCTTCAGCTCATTTTCGTTTAGCCAATCCAATATAGATTCAAACTCTTTCACCAATTTGAAATATTTATTTCTTTCGTCTTCTAGCTCTTGCGTGTCATTAATGTATTCAGTGTTTTCGGCTTTCTTGTAGTCCTTTTCTCTAAACACGCTATTAACAGTAGAAGAGCCTGTAAAAGCTATATCTCCTCCGTTTACCAGTGTCCTACATATTTCAAAGTGTCAGCTACAGCTTTGTAGTTAGATCAAGTCGTGGCAAAGATCGAACAGACGTATCCAGCCATAATACTCATTACTCCTATTATCGTAGCAGTATTCGTTGCTTTTGAATATTTTAATGAATATTCTATCTGCTTTATTATATCTATAGTTTCGGCCGATTGTTTATCTCATTCGTGATAACTTTCGAGAATTTTCGTTTTAAAAACATTGATGCTTTGGACCTTCTCGAACAATCTTCGGAAGCGACGAGCTGATGATCCTGAAAAAGAAAAATAAATTCAATATTTGCAATTAGATCTAAAATATTTAATTAATTATAGTGAAACCTCTGAACAACGTCCACTGACCGTTGTTCGAAGGTTAATTTGTATGTTATCGAGTCGGCGAAGCAAACTGAGGAGGGACAATTGTCCCACATGATTTCTCTCTGTGTTAGTATCAACAATAATAAGCATTAATACTTCAAAAGTATGATTAAATCGCTGTAACATCTAAAACTCAAATTGCACTTACTATCATAAATCATAGAAAATCATAGGTTTTCTTGGAGCATGTTGATTTATGATTAAATCAACACTCAATTTGGATATATTAACAACAACAATAATAATTAGAATAATATAATTAGAAAGATTACCGTTTCGACATTATTTCTGAACAAAGAATTAACAAGACAATCATAAAAAACACAACGAAGACAATCATTACTTCGCTTTAAAGTAGGCTGTAAAAAATTTATATAAATTAAAGCAAAATTTTTCTTTTAGCTTAAAACATAACAAAATTTATTAAAGATGAAATACTTAATTAATTTCAAAATGAAAAATGATTTAAATACTATCGTGTTTCCCCGAAAATAAGGCAGTGTCTTATATTACTGAACCGTAGCACTATGCAAATGTCGTGTGGCGTGATTCTCGGCCGACCAATTAGCCATCACCAGCAGTAACGTTATGCAAATCTGTGATACCCAAGCCATAGTTTTATGCAAATCATGCCGTCTGGCGTGATTGTCTGCTGACCAATCAGTGGCTGTACTTTCAAAAAGCCAACAGCCACTTTCAACCATCTGTCGATGACCGTTACGAGTAAAAAAAACTTTGCTAGGTCTTACTTTCGGGGGGAGGCCTTATATTTAGCAATTCAGCAAAACCTATGCTATGTCTTATTTTCAGAGGATGTCTTATTTTCGGGAAAACACGGTATATTAAAATAAACGCTTTTATTTGTCATTTTTTCGAAATTGAAAACTACAGTGTTGCGATGTCACAACAGTACAATTATATACATCTTTACAATGCATTTACACGCGCCGTGATTAAATTCAACATTTAGTTCTCTTTGGGATTTACGGTAGAGAGGGTAAAGGTAAAGCATTTCTAAAATATTATTAAAATGGTTATGTTTGTCCTGAAAGTTTCAGTCTTTTATATTAATTAAAAATACATGCGAAGTGATTTAAAACTAGTCACACAAACACTTGTGATAAATGAATTTACGCATTAACCCGTTTCGCTACGGATGGGAGAAATGTTCTTTTATGTAAATTTAATTAAATGGCACCTAACAGATTATAATTAGTGATTTATATGTATGTAATTGCACAATAAACTTGTATCAGTGCTTGTGTATTCTGACATTTGTATCACTTTCTATATCTTATTATAACAGACATTTCTCGAGAAATGTTATCATATTTATGATAAAGTTATCTATTAATAATATTTTATCGATAAATTATATAATTGTTTGTGTTTTGTTCGAAATTTATGTAAAGCGGAAAATAATTATCTTTTATTTAAATTAAACAATATACATATTTCAGGGTTAAAAAGTATATACAATCCTCTACACATGTATAAAAATTTACTTTTTTCTACCTTTTAATGATAAAATATCGTTATGTAAAGATTATGGTTCAAGACGGCCGTATAGACAAGGAGGTAAAGGCCTCAGCCTAGAGCTCTGGGGATTCGGATTCGATTCCGGGCTAATCAAAAAAGTCTTCGTGGCCTTCCTTTCCCGAGTATATTAGAAACCATTTCATTATCTAACCGCTCCTATTGTCAGCCTTTTATTATGATCCTTAATTAACTTAATGTAACGTGGGCCTGGAAAACTCACGATAGGTATAAAAAACGTTCTCGAAGTAATCGTACGCTGTTAAAGATTATTAATTAATTATGACCAAGTTTTGTATTAAGTGACTTTTCTGACATAATGCGGTTGGTATAAAGATTACCGCACATCACTACCAGGTAATGGCGAGTTCACTGAGTGTTATCGCTTAATTAATTAATGTACTTCGTTCAAAAAAATTTTATCTACAGGATTTTCCGGCCCGTATGGGTCGGAAAATCTTTTAAAATTTTCGGGGTGGTCCATTCCGAATTTGTCTGGTTCGTCTTTTACCATTCAGCCATTCCATCATGGGCTTGGCCTACGATTGGTCCGATAAAACCGTACTGACATACAGGCGGAGAAATTCAAAAAAGAAAGAGAAAACGCGAACTTGGGCCACACGGGTGAATAGGCTGGTGTTTTAACTTCCTATTTTGAAAAATTTAGTATTTTTTAAAGTTCTTAAAATTTTATTTTATATGCACGTTGTATTCAATAAATGGGTACAATTGATAATTATGGGACGATGATATTCATCCAGAATGACAGATTAGTGTCTTTTCTGCTTAACTATCCCCTCTACGATTAAGAAATTAATTATAATGTACAAGGCTAGGCCTACAGATATGGTACAGTATATGACATGTCGTGTCATCTCTGCCCTTCTACTCTACCAATTGTCCGTCTGAAGACGTAAGATTTAGTTAATTAAATAGGTAAAAACAACTTACCTCTGAGAGTTGACTTCTAACTGGGAAGAGCCGAACAGAAACATGGAGAACATTTACACCTTTGTATCAATTTATTAACTGAAAAGCAAATATTTTGATTTGTCAGTTAAAATGGTAAAGTGCGTGTTAAGCGGGATGAAATACAGTAGAACAACGATTATCCGACTCCCGATCAACCGTTGCATCGGTTAACCGACTGTTCTAATCGGCAAATTCAAATGTCCGCTAGTGATGTGGCGCTACAATATTTGGCTATGTCTTGGCTACTTTAAGAGTACTTTTACGTGTATTTAAACGCGGCTTAATTTTCTAATTTTTAACGATACAATAGCGACGATTATTATTTAAAAAAATTTTTGTTAGGCTTAACATCGATGAAAATTCAACGCGAAGTAGGTTAATAGCGATATACTAATATACTAATTACATGAGATATAGGCTACTAATATACTATACTAATAATGTATTTTTTCATATTTGTCGGTTATCCGTTTTTTTCAGTTATCCGCTCAACCTCAGTCCCCAATTGAGTCGGATAATCGATGCTCTACTGTATATCGATATGAAAATCTTTACGGCGTGAGTGAAAAGATTAATAATGAAAGCACCGTCGGTTGTGAACACGTATTCGGAATAACAGCCACGTGACGAGTTACTTTACGTCACACCATTCCGTTCAATCAGGTGTAGGTGCGTGCATAATCGGCGCCTGCAAATAAATTTTGTGATTATTTAGTCAGATTATAACCTTTAATTTTTTGTAGAAAACAGGGCTGTGGAGTCAGAGTCGGAGTCGGAGTCGTGGAGTTTTGGTGTTTTAGTCGGAGTCGGAGTCGTCAAAGAATCCGCCGACTCCGACTCCTTTTTACTTACCAACTTATTATGTATATAAAATGGAAAAGTATTGGAATCGTGTCAAATTTGACTCTCCAAGTTTTTTTTTGCAAATCTACACGTTTGGAGATCTCCCGAACCCTTAAAAAAAGTCAGTAAAGGGGAAAAATTCGCGCGTGTGCGTGTGTTGGCGTCTAATTTGTTTAATTTTTTTTATTTTTTGTTCTGAGATATTAAACAATATCTCAGAATGGGTAAAGTTTAAGAAACGAAATGTGGCACAGTAGCTTGCGTATAAAGGGGCATTAATGCTATTAAAGTTTAGTTCTTAAAAGTCGACAGGGTGAAGATATAAAAGGGGTCACGTATGATATCGCTTAATGAATATTTTACTTGTTATTAGCGTTCAAAATTAAAAAAAATAAAATAAAACTCGTCTCTATCCTCAAAGAAAGCTTTTTAGCCATTTTATAATAGTACAGTAAAACCCGTTAAGATGTTCTCGCCTAAGATGTTAGAATGTATATGGGGACACGATTTAGTTCAACCAATTTAATGCGTAATAACTAACTCCTGTGTTAAACCATCTGACTCCGATTCTGACTACTCTGACCGCAGAAATTATTAAGCTTCAAACATAGTGAACAAAATCGTGCCACTCTCACACAGTCTAACATCCACACATATAGAAAATACCTCGAATCTTTTGTGTATCTCGAAATTTCCAGGTGTCTCGAGCCCAAAAATATAAAAATTTGGGAGGAGTCATTTTTTGACCGAGCGCTGTACTTTCCCTCTGTTATATATAATAGCCGGAAAAGTAAAAATTATCGAATACATATTTATATAGGCCTATTACTTAGAGAAGTCTTTTAGCTTTGGAATAAAACTATATTCCAAAACTAAGAGACGTTCTATCTTTATTAGAACTCTATTTATTGAATCTTTTATTCTGAGGTCACGTGATGACATCAGAATTTCCGGGTCTCTTTCGGTAACAAGTCCGCCCCTGGTCGGAGTCGGCAGATTTTTACGCGACTCCACAGCCCTGGTAGAAAAATTTTTTAACAGAAAATAAGCAGTATAAGTACTGTATATCTGTTTATAGATGATATTCAATAATAAAGTACTCGGTAAAAGTATCGGAGTTGACAAACATACCGGTCACTCAGATATTAATACGACAACTTTTGGCCCATATCATTATTATTAATATTAGGTGAATTATTGCAGGATGCATAGAAAGAGCTATGGAATATGTGGCATTCTCTAATGATATTGTTTTTATTAATGGGATAGAGTAATTATAACTGAGCCAGGAAAGATTAATAACAGATTAGAGAAAGAGAGATTAAAGGTCAGTAGAGTCGACATTTAGTTCTTGGAATTTAGATATGGACTATTAGGAGAAAGATAGGTTTATCTCAGTTCTATATATGTATTATAATTAAGAAATTATTCGAAAAAATAACGTTTGTTTTTATTTAGATAAAAAATTAAAAAAACTAATTGAAAATATCCAGCAACGAGTTGCGTAACTTTCCTAGCTGTTATAAAATTTAATTAATTATGGTAGAATGGTAAAAAGCTGAATTTTGAGGGTATATTTAAGTTTTATTTTAAAAAATACTGTAAATGCTTATTACGAATAAAATCTTCATTAAGTCCGGTCCCACTGGAGATATGATACGTGACCTCCTGTATCTCTCCACCTCCTCGGATTTTAACCACCAAAACTTAATAGCATCAACAGTCTCTTATACACAAACTATTTTGTTTGTTTTATTGTTACTTCATCCTGAGATATTAAACGGAAAGTACGCCAAAACACGCACAGGTAGGGTCGTATATGGAAGATAACAGTACTTAATAGAATCTTCAAAGTAAACGGAAAGCATAACGCCACTCGATCGCCATCTATTGCCTATCTGATTCATTAATCTGTATATATATTACAAGGAAAATTTTCAATTGATTTGCTTTTAATTATAAGCGAGTTAACATTGATTGAACTATAGACTTTTCTAGTTGGGCTGCAATTTAAATAAATTGTAGACATATGAATTTCCACTGTCTTTCGTCTGTCTCCGTGTCTACCCTTTCTTAATCTCGAAAAGCTGGTTAAGTAGATGAAATTGGAAAGAATGGATGAAAAGAGTGAAGGGCAAGAGGCCCCGATCTATGTACGAAGTTCCGATGAAAACCGAAAGTCACGTTATTACAATTGAAAAATATCCCCCTGTAAGGAGTTCGATTGATGACCGGCATTACTATTGCTAACAGAAAAGGTATTATGTACAACGAATGACACTACTAATTTGAGGTAAAGAGCATATATTTTAAATTAAACAAATTAAAAAAATAGTGATTAAAATTGCAACCCGGCAGTGTGACTAATTCACAATAAATAATAGCTCGTTCTATTTTAAAATGCAGCTGAGTCACCATTAAAATGTATCGACTTTTATAACATACGTAAAATATTCTCACAGAAGCATCTGTGTATATTACACTGATTTCTAGCTTTACGTAAGGGGCTCAAGGGCTTTAGGTAAACCAGTTAATAACCAGCCTTGGATTCGAAATCCAGCAGTAGCTACGATTCTAAACTTAGGTACGGTGTAATACCTATTGTGTGATATAACGGAGCGAGTGTATTATGGATAATGATGCTAAAATTATGGCATCTACAGAGCCCTCACATAGTCATATGATACTAGAAACTATACCATGCCTTTGTAAACGCCGTAATTTTAGCACCATTATCTACAATACACTTGCTCAGTTATATCATACAATAGGTATTACACCGTACAGTACCTAAGTTTAGAATCGTAGATACTGCTGGATTTCGAATCCAAGGCTGATTATCAGCTCGCTTATCTAAAGCGTTTATAGCCTGAAACTCTAAAAAATATGTCGATTTTCTAAGCTTAAAACCATTACTTTCTAATTTACGTTCTCTTAACTCATAAACTGATTTTAGTTTTAATCTACACAACTCTCACTTGATCTCTCCTATAATTTTTCACATTACTTACTACTGAAATGAATTATTTTTAAACTTTTGCTACTGTAAACATTCGATGTGATTTAAAGCTTAATAACTCCCGTGATTTTTGTCGAAAATTTCAGTCATTTTGCAGGTAGATTTGATTATTAGGGGGATTGGTTTTGTTATATTTTGGTGGTTAAAGGTCAAGGGGTATGGTGAGATAATTGGGATTGTGTGTATCTCCAGTAACTGTTAACACAGTTTGCAATCGTTTATTTAAAAACTGTCATTTAGCGAATATAACACTTCATTACAGTACTTGTAATATCGAACACTATTTGTGCTATAAACTATACTAGTTAAACAATTTGAATGTGTTAGTAGTAACAACGGTTAACACTAAATAATAAAAGTACAAATTGATGCTGCCATTTGCAATAAGTAGTGAAGTCTGTAACACTCCAAATTTTGTAACGTATAAAATTGCTTTATGAAAGTTATATTCATCGAAGAGAAGCAAAGTAATTGAGAAAATAAATAGATTCTGTATTTTAGTATTACCTATTTGAAAATTGCTTATTAGTAAAATGGCTACATGCTTTAAATAGTATCTTAGTTAAAAATATATTGTAAATTCTTCGAATAGAATGATCATGTTTGATGCTTGTATACAATAGAATGCAATGATTTATGTAGACACAAGGAAAATGCTTTACTCAAATTACGTCAGAAACTATACCACGTTATTCTGACACATGTATGTAAGACATTGATTAATTTTTATTTGTTTAAATTCAGAAGACTGCCGTAAACAAATCGATGTATAATATTATATCCGGAATTTGAGTATTCAACGATTCCAGAAATAGCAATTTCATGCAACTGACATTCCGCTTTCTGTTGGTATGTAACTAAGTTGTTTATGAATTTAACGAACGTACAGTGATTCGATTATTTGAGTACATAACTTAAGAATTTACGGAAAATTGAAGACATTAAGAATCAGAAAGTGTTTCTCCGTTTTCCAGTCGCTTTCATCGTTGCTTGGCTGATTACTTCAGTGTTTACCTTATTCTGAAAACTGTGCTCTTCTACAATAAATGTGCCATCTGGTCGTTACTTTTGCAATATTATTTTGCTACTTAATAATAATTTTCGACTTTTTGGAAAGTCTGGAATATTTCTTGCAACAGTGTCTCAAATATGATTCGTAATCCTGTGAATCATCCTCCCGATTGTTTCTGCCTGTTGTGTAGAGTAACAAGGAATAGAAATATTCTTTTGATTTTTGGTGT